AGAAAAGAAAAGAAAAAAAGAAGAAGGGGAAAAGGAAGGGCGGCAGTGGCGGAGAAAGCGGAAGGGAGTGGGCGGGCCCGGCCTTTCTGTCTCTCTGTTAATGCGGCTGCCCCGCCTCGTTTGACTGGTAGGTGGGTGCCACGTCGCGTGGGGCCGGGGCTGTCAGGGGGAGAGGGGCGGGCCATGCCTGCGTGGAGGAAGGCGACGGCGGCGAGGGATTACCCTTTTCCTGCTGGGCAGCCTGGCGGGCAGGGTCTGGCTGGTGTCGGGCCGGCGGCACCGTCCACGGCGCGGACGATCGTCCTTTTCGCTGCTGCTGCCGCCGTCAGGCGGGCATGGTCGGTTGCTTCGCTGTGGAAGTTCTCACGCGCACGCGCACGCGCGCAAGAGAGAGAAGAAGGGCGGAAATGATTTGACCGTAGCTCATAGTGTTACGGTTTTTTTATGAGATAAGTAGGGTTCAAGTCTTAGACTTTGCTCACGTTCTAGACTTACTTTAGATTTTTGTTTTGGCAATGTCCGTTCAGTGGGAGGAAATGTTTCCATCGACTACGAAACATGTGTGACGACTTCATCAATCTGAAGTATACAGGTGGGTGTATATACATGTATGTGAGCATCCGCAAAAATGCATTCATTGTTGCAGAAACTAAACTGATCTTGTGTTGTTGGCTTTTTATAAAGCGTGAATTTTAGTGATCAAACAAAGCATCAAGTATACAAACACATATGAGTACACATCTTGTCTTTAGGTCGTACACAGTCAACGCTTAGAGCAATGCTAACAATCATTGATAAGTATAAAAATGCATCATCATGTTTTACGTTTAGTTTTGTATCATGGGATTAGTCAGAATTTTACCGGGCTCGCACACCTTTTTATTGATTTTATCAGGATCCTTAACGCGAGATGCAAAGAAAAATAATCTTGAGATATGATGTGAAAATCATGTTAATTTACGTGAAAAAACATCTCATAAAGAGTACAAGGCAAGAACGGCAAAAATCAGCCACATGAGGGACTCCATGGAAGAAGACAACTTCTAGTACGAGCACGCGCGCTCGTACGAGTTAGCGCCCCCACCTCGTGTTCAACTATTTTAACCCCGTGCCTTCAAATCGAGAGAATAAGCAACACAGAGATCGGAAACTCCGCCAGACTCAAGAACCCTAGCCTCTGGAAGGGTTCTGGAGAGTGGAATCAATAGAAGGGTTTCACAACACCATCATCTCGGTTAAGAGGACTATGACATCAACCATTTCCATTCTTTGTAATAAAAAACCCTAGTGGATCTGTTCTTGTATTACTTTGATCGTTCATCTATGTTCATCATGATTTACCCTTTGGTGTTTATCGTTCTCATGTCCAAGTAGACTCCCTAGTTCTCGGGGATATGAAGAAAGCCTAGTAAGTTTAGCTGATGAACGCCGATAGGATTTGATATCCTCTTTGTATGTTCATGTTAATAATCTTCTCGATGTTAATTAGTTGAAGTCGATCACCCAACATTTACCTCTTTGGGAGAAAAGATTATCACCATTGATGTGATTGTGGGTTTTCGGAGGTACCGCGATGACATAAGCTACTTCCCTCCTTCCTGAACATTGCAATAGGGATCAGCGGAGACTATCTTTAGCTGCATCCATGGGAAGTCCTTAATCACTGTTCTGAAAACAGAATGTGGGGAGGAACCATTGTGGTGTATGTGATGCGTAGTTGTTGCATGTATGCATGCATTTGTACTTGGCTCTGTCCACTTTTAGAATGATACTATCTCTCCAATGAATCAATGATTTTTGCATGATTCGTGATATATTGCTATCAACTTTAAACACCATGGAAATGAATTTTATTGAATTTATTGGACTAACATATTAACTCAGTGCCCAGTGCTAGCTCATATGTTTTGCTATTTTGTGTTTCAGATAATACTCAGAAAAGTTCTTGAAAAAATCCAAAAAACGAGATTCATAAGTTTCGAGAATAGGAGGACACTTGGAGACTGGGGCCCACACCAGAGGCTACCCCAGTGCCTAGGCGCATATGGCCTGTGGGGGATGGCTGGCCTCCGGTGCCCGATGGTCCATATATACCCCCATTTGCGCACCCTAATGGTCGAGAAATTTTCCATCGCCGTCACATTGCGTTTTCTAGGTGATCTTCATTTTTAACCCTGATCTAGACCGCTGCCGAAGGGGGAAATTCATCACCATCTTCATCAAACTCGATCATCGTGCTCCAAGATGAGTTGCGAGTTGTACACCCCCGGATGACAGTAGCCAATGTTGTAATCTCTCCTCCTAGATGTATTTTCCATGTTTAATACAATAACTACATGAGCTACCATATATGATTGTAGTTTATCAGATGAGTTTGTGGTCGTGATGTAGATCATGTAATGGATTAACTATATATGTTCAGATTTGTTCATGATTCATATTTGATATATGGATGCATATTTCCTTCTAGATGCATGTATTCTCTTGGCCAACTTAGATTTCTAGCATTGTGGAAGTGGTGCGCATTAGTTTGGTTCAAGAGTTACAAGTAATCTACAATAGTGACAAAAAATGAAAAAGGCTTGCAAGAATTGTTGTCACTGAGGGTTGAGGATTTGTAGAGGATGAATAATTCCCTAATCATAACAGTATGTCATCATTCTAAATACAATTACCCATGTTTACACTCAATGTCTAGATGTTGCAAAGTATCTCTGTATGGGATATTTAGCTAAA